CCCAGAGACATACTATGGTTTGAATAGCCCTGTAAAATCAATGTTGAAATTTAATTGCCACGGTAACAATAGTAAGAACCAGGACGTTTTGAGAGTGATGAGTCATTGGAGCTCTACCTTAAGGATGGGTAAATCATCAGCATTTTCCATTGTTGTAGATGTGGTCCAGTCTCTTGAGAGTGTCTCTATTCTAGATACTAACTCTGTCTTGTTGCTTGTCACATAATAACCTCTGTTGTATTATGATACAGTCCAATAGCCCTCACCAGGTTGCAGCCCTTTGATAATGAACTTCTCTGCCTCTAAATCCACTGTGAGACATAAATTGTTCTTTATAAAATGGCCATTTTGTACCATTTCCATAGACCATCTGAAAATGGACTAATATCCTCAATTGAAATCACAGATGTTCAATTATAGTGTACCATTGCTTTTAAGAGGAGGGTGAACAGAGTTGAAGATATAAAGGTGGGTGGGTATACAAGCTGTCCCCTTTTCACAGTGTCATGGCAATATTAAGAGTCAATAAAGTTAAAGTTTTCAGAAAGAAAAACTATTGGTTGAGCTTCTTTTCCTTGTGGATGTTTAGCAGTCTTTCCAGCCCTTATTTAGTATTCCTCCTAATCTAAGATACACTAGTAGGTTCAAGCTTTTATGTTAGTAACCAATTTAAGTTTCTTGAAACAAAAACAGTTCTCAGCAAGAACTACAAGAGAGTGCCAATAAATAAGCCACATTTTTCATTGTAGTAGATTTATCTATTGAGCTGACCCAAAAGCTTTGTGTTCTTTCCAGGATGCTGATCTTAAAAGTTTTTTGTACAGAACCAGAATTCTGTATACCTATCCAGGTCTCATGTCGAGTTACCAGACACAGCAGCTTGGCTTGGACTGGAGGGCCAATGTTTTCCATGTTACATTTCTAGAATCTGTTTATCTTTTATCACCGTCTGTGTTTCCCTGGATTCATACTGTAGGACTGATATCAGCAAGAAAGCTCAAGGCCCAATTTCCATTTCCTCCTGGACTCTTTCAGCTGCTCAGATAGGCATAAAAGGCAGGGTGACTATGATCTACACTGCCTGTGTGGCCAAGAAAAGCATGCTAATCTCTCTTCCTCCCAGAATCCCCTCTACAATTCTTCTTCTGGGACCTTTTACCCTTGACTAATGGAACAGAAGCCGGGCGTTGGTGGCACATGCCTTTAATCCTGGCACTCGGGAGGCAGAGGCAGAGGCAGGCAGATCTCGGTGAGTTCGAGGCCAGCCTGGCCTCCAGAGCCAGGGCCAGCATAGGCTCCAAAGCTACACAGAGAAACCCTGTCTCGAAAAACCAAAAAAAAAAAAAAAAAATTAACAAAAAGTCTCCTTGAAAATGCTCTGTCTTCAACCAGGTACCGCATGTAAGGACTGGGAAAGACTTAATGGTACAATATAACAGAACCAATTTAACAACCAGTAAGTCATAGTATGTTTCAGGGAACCTCTTCTTGAACAGTATTTTTCTCACGCCTCCATGGCCATAGAAATCACCTGGAAACTTAAAAGCAAAAAAGGGAGGATACCACTCAGCTTGGGGGTTCATTGGTCAGAGTTCGTATTTCATTTCAAGGTATTAAAATGAGGTGGTACTCAACCTAACCACTTTACAGTAAATCTGAAATGCCTTGAAGAATCCAATTTAACATGCTTTTTATACACGTTCTCAAAAAATAAGAGAACACAAAGCTTTCAGGGATGTTAGGGATGCAAAAAAAAAAAAAAAAACTTAAGATCATTTTGTTAAAATTTATTCCTTAGGAAATAATGAACCAGTATTTACAAAGTCACTTTGAGCATTTCTTATAAATAGGAGACTCAGGCCTTATTTTCACACCTTCTCAGTCAACATTTCTCAAATGGGGATGAGGGATAGGAGCCTGCATCTCAATAAGCTCTCTTAGTGATCTCAGGAATAATTATAGTTGGAATCATTAATCTGTAACAGATTTTAAATAGTCCTAACTGCACAATAAAATCTCACAGGGGCTTTAAAATAGTCATGTTTGCTAGAGCAGTGGCATCTACTCTGGATGCATTTGAGCCTGGTGTCCAGATACCATGCAGTACCAGTCACATTGTAATCCCTTACATGTGATTGCACCAGGCATCTGTGCTTTCAAATCCCCCTGGAAGATCATAGTATACAGCTGTGATAGTTTTATCTTCACTGTCAACTTGACTCAATGTGGAACCATCATAGAAATATGTCTGGATGTATTTGAGGGCATTATTTCCAGGACGATTCAAACAAAGAAAGAAAATACCTTCTGAATGTGACTGGAAACATCAGCTGAAGGATCCTAGATTGAATAAAACGAAGCAAGCTAAACACCAACATTCATCCCTCTGCTTCCTGAGACTACAGATCAATGGGGCCAGCCATCCTCTACTCCTGCACACCAGCACACAGATGGATGCACATATAAACACATACATATACCACACAAACTTGGGAACACAGAAGTTAGAAATGTGTGAGCGCCCAGGGATAAAGGAGGAAGACAAGTGTGCAAATTGAGATAGAGTGAGAGTGATAACTAGTGTAACAGATGCATAAAAAAGAGGGTCAAAAGATGTCAGTGAAGACACCCTGGTATTATTTGAGCTGGATCCCTTACAAGAACCAACGTATCCTCCATAACATGCCTTCTCTCTCTTTCATCTCTTGGTACACCCTGTCTTTTTTAGCTTTAACCACATTGAACTCCTTTCAGTCCTTAAATGACACACTCCCCTTAATTAAGCCCTCCATCTTCACTGATTCTGTTTGTTTAAAATACTCTTCAACCTTCTCCTTTTTTCCCACCTACCTAGGAGTTTGCTTAGTGTTGCTCCTCATTGGCCTCCCATAGGATGAATGAAATATGCCTTTGCCATACATGTTCAGACCCACTGTATCACACTGTTTCCCACAACAGCAAGAAAAAAGAAAAAAGACTCTATCCTTTGTCACATGTCTCTATTCACACAAAAAAGTAGCAATACTAAAAGATTGAATGGCTTGCATGCCAATGGACAGGAAATGTGCTTTAATGGTGTGACATTATGTGGCTTGTTTCAGAATGGGAAAAAAATCTGATCTCTAAAGCCTTCAATAAACCCTCAAGTGACCTGCACTTTATCTAATAGGTAACAGAATGTCAGTGAAGTTTTATGTACAAAGGTATAAGAACTAGATTTGTCATTCAGGAGAGCTCCTCTAGAAGCCATGCAGTAGGTGGCCTGAAAGGGAAAGACTAATGGAAAGGAGATCAGCCAGGATATGTTCCAGTGCCACAGGTGAGAAATGACGAAGGCTTCCCTGAAATAATGAGGTGGAGAATACCATTCAGAAGGCACTTTTTATATGGGATCTATAGCACTTGCTGACTAACTGCATGTGGGAGGGAGTGTGAAAGATGATGTCGCAGTCTAGCTCGGGAGTCAGGCTGCTCAGGGTCCTATTAATGGAAATACACAATGCAGGAGGAGAAAGAGCTGGCTTCAAGGAATAAAAATAATGAGCTCAGTTTTAAACATACTGAGTTCTCTGTGCTCAGGAGGTATCTGGGTAGAGTATTTTATGCACTGGAAATGCATGACATCTCCGCTGGTACTTCATCGATTCTAGATGTGGCTGGTGTTGTCCAATTGACTGTGCTGTCTTCCAGTTTATGTACTAGGAGACAGGCTTTGGAAACTGACAGTGTCACATTGATTTCATGATTTGTTTTACTTTGGGCTACAATTGGCAATCAAAATAACTGCTTCAGGGAAGATTCTAAAATCCCTTCCTGATAATTTTCTTCAGTTAGATAGATGCACCCATGCTATGTTTGCCCAAATTCAGAAGTATAACAATTTTTTGCCATAGGTAACTGTGCTATTGTATATTTTCCTCATTTGATGGTGAGATCAATGATTTCAGAAAGGAAATACATTATTCTTGATAAGCTTTGTATTATATATAACAGAAATCTAAATTGATAGATGCTTGGACAGATGGATGAACAAATGGATGGATGAATGGATTTATAATTTTACTGCAGTGATATGTAATATTTTCTGTAGCTAGTTGCCTAGGAAGTGAAAGCTTAATATCCTACTGTTTAATGCCTAAGTGACTTTTCACTGGGTTGCTGACTACAGCCACTGTGTGGGAAGGAATCACTGTAAATATTTTTAAATAGGCTTTCATTACATTATTTTCTCTTGGCAATGTGAAATAATCCATGGATTTAAGGTTTTTTTCTGGCTATAAAAGATAACATAAGCCTTGATACATTAACCTTTGACATGAATATTTGAAAACTCTCTTGATGCTGTTGGAAAAGCTGGTAGACGAGGTTATGATCAGGTTTCTGTTTTGAGAAGATAGACAAAGAAGTTGGAGAATAAACCAACTCAGGTGGAGAGAAAGCAGATGATGAGGACCTAGAATAATGCAAGGTGAATAGAGAGTGAAATGGAGATACTCAGTCAAATCATTTTCTCCACCAAATACTTAACAATTAACATCATACCAGACTGTGGGTGTGTTGGCAAAAAAAACTAGTAAAGTTTCTTCCTCAGAGTTTATAGACAAAGACAGGAGTCATACAACAGCCAAATCATCATGATAATAAGTGTAATTTACATCTATGATAAATGTCATATAAAAAGAAAAGACAAACTCAAAAAAAAGTGTAGTGGGCACACAGCTGAATTAGAAAGATCTTGAATCTGGAAGACTTAGTGAGGTTAATGCTAAGAAAAGCCATCATTTGGTGGCATATAAGTAAAAACATACTTTTGATAAGTTAGAGTGGCCTTTGATAAGAAAATGAAACCAACAAGCTCCAAATTATAACTTCTGATTTTACAATTAATTCCTCCCAATTATCAAATGGATCATCACTCACTTGAAATGATGGCATTTTTGCTGATGTGACAGTTTACTCTCTGTCTCCATGTTAATTGTTCTTTTTTTTTCACCATTCAGATGTTGCAAGAGCAATTGAACTACTGGAAAAGTTACAAGAATCTGGAGAAGTGCCTGTGCACAAGCTACAGTCTCTCAAGAAAGTGCTTCAGAGTGAGTTTTGTACAGCAATCCGAGAGGTAGGACACAAATTTTTGGCCATATGTCTTCTGGGTAGAAAACATGTTTTGCCATATAAACAGTTGAAATTGTTAAGTTTGGAAGAACATCTTTGCTTTCTGTTTTTAGCTCCTTGGACAGATGATAAAATATAATTTAGTCTGCTAAACTCTTAAATTAGAGCTATGCAGAAATTATGCATTTATATAAAATTAAATGTTGATTTTGTGATACCAGAGAAGGTTCTGCTTCTGCAGGTGACTGTAGTGTTCATCCTAATCTACTTTGCAGTCACATGAAGTCACCTAGAAATTCAAGTAGAAATAATCATAATTAATGAGGTGATTTCTTAGGGATACATTTGAGTAAATCTTTCATAGTTAAATCTGAAAGAGTAATTTCCTACTAGTTGAAGTTATAGTTACTTAAATATCAATGTCTAGTGTGATAATGCGTGGGAACTCCAAATAGACTGGCATGCCTTTGTAGCAAATCTGCATTATTCTTTTCAAGTAATTGTTGTTTTTGTTAAGTGAGGTAAAAACAAGTGTATTCATATGACAATTTAAATCTCAAAAATTGGATTGTGGTAAGATTGCCTTACTCAACTGATGAGATTAATTGGTCACAAGAAAAACTCATTCAGATAGTTAAGCTAACTCATTTATTTAGTAACCTATTATACCTTATCTGTCTCTCGACAGATAAAAATCCATTGATCAGAACCCAGAGCCTATAAATATAGCATAGCTGCTGTTTTTGGAGTCACAGCTTATTGATTTTCTACCAGTTTCCTACTCAAGGCCATATAAACCCACTGAATGCCAGGAATAGTTGGTTTTAGCACCATGCATGCCTCTGAAGGACAGATGCACCAAGCTTCCATCTCCTTTTGTAACACTACATGTAGATAATGCTGGTTTATCACTGATGGGTACAAAATATGTCACTGCAGCAGAGGCATGCATATATCTCTGTTCATTTAAACTGTAGCCTCTGCAATGCAATTAGGGTTTAGGCTTGGTGGGTGTTTGACTTATACTGTGTGTGTGCTCAGCATTTCTCAGGTGAAGTTGTCTGCTATTTGCTTTTTGTTAACATTGAACATAGCTTAAATAAATAACTATAATTACATTTCTAAATTTTCAACCTGTCAGTTGATCAAAGCCTAGAAGGAAATGTCTCAAAGCATAATAGATCTATAGCTGTTTTCAAATTAGTACAAAAAGAATACTGTCTGAGAAACCCATAGACTCCTCTCAGATAACCTCCTGTGAATGCTGTAGAAGGAGCAGCTAAATTCTCTGGGCTCTTTTATCTTTCCCCTTGGATTGTGTAATCTATTGAGAATTTGTAGCCAACTTTTCCTTTTTTAGAGACTAAATCATCTCTTCTGTGTCACAGCATTCTGATTTCTGCAAAAGGGACTGAAGGACAAGGCACATAAAACATTTGTCTCTGCTCAGGAACTATATGACTCATGATCAATTTCAACTCTCTGTGTTCACAAAACCTGAACGCTTCATGAAAGGAAACTGTGATAAATAATCTTACAATAGAAAATGAGAGAGTGATGATATAATAGACAGTGAAAAACTGCATCAGAAGGGTTGGAGTAAGACTTCCAATTTAGGAAAGTCAGAAAAAAAACTACTTGAATATTGAAAAGGGTCACACACATCCTGAGGAGGTCAGTGTTTCAGGCACAGCAAACAACAAGTTCAAGACCTTAAAGGCAAAAAATGGTCTCTATTCATGAAAGAATATCCTGAAAGGCAGCATGTCTTCATGAATGGGAAGTTACATTCCCTAGAAACAACTGGATAGCAGGTTACATAAAACTTCATAGACCATACAAAAACATCAGACTTTATTCTCTGTAAGGATTTCTGGGAGATTCTTGACCAGACCTGATTTGCTTGGGAAAGGTCTCTCTGGCTACTGCAAAAACACAAATACTGGTACAAGGGTGAAAACAAGAGACGAGAAACAATGCAATGAGGAAATCACATGAGAAATTGAATGTGGCAGCAGTATAATAGCAGGAAGTTGTCAAAATCTCCCTCTATTTCTTAGATGAAAATGAACTGATATCATTGATGAATTGAGTGCATAACACTGGAGAGATAAGAGTATCTGTTGGATCTTACTTTAGGTTTTGACAATTGGGTAGATATGCATGAACATGTTACAATGAAGTACATTATTTTATGTAATCAATAGATGCTGACAACCAAGAATACAAAAAATGTTCATAAAAAAGAGAATGTAAGAAAAATAGCATAGACTGTATAAACCTGAACTGCAAAAAGTACTTTTATGTTCACACTAATGAACTTAGACATAATTTTTGTTCTTAGAGTCAGTACTTATCATAACGCCTGGCATTCGTACAAGTGATGTAGAATTGGTTGCACACCTATAGTCTGCAGTTGTCGTCATTATTATCTCTGCATTACATTACAGGTGCTGTAGGAAACAACGGCAAAATTGTAAAACAACGACTTTAAATAGTATTCTAATTAAAATGCCTTCAATGACAATACATCATAAAATATGAGTATGTTGCCAGATAGGTGAATCAAAAGCCAATAAAGAAATTGACTCTAGGTAGTCTAGCGATGAATATCTAAAAGTTAAACAAGCCCAGGCCAAGAACACTTTCATTCCTGGTCTCTGTATGGCTGGCAAGGAATGTGGAATTTTTGGTTTTCATTTAAATAATCTTAGGCTTTTGTAATTAAATTATTTGATTTTTTCCAGAAATATTTGTTACACTGCCTTACTGGTTAGAGCTAACAGAGAAAACCCAAACATAGGTCACTAAACTGCCAATAACATATGCTCAAAACAAGAAGGTAGGGTTAGCTTTTGTAAATATTGCTTTACATAAGTGGAAAAATTATTATTATTATTATTATTATTATTATTATTATTATTATTATTATTGGAGGTAATTTCATAGTTTGCTATCCATGTAGGGTAAGACTATTGAATCAACCGTTAGCATATGTACAATGCTTTTAGGAGAAGAGTTTGATGAGATTTCAGGTGTTTTAAGCTAAAAAAAATCAATGCTCATAAAGTATCTTAACTCTGTAATTTGTAATACTAAAGTCTAAAAACATGCATGTTGAGATCAGTACTGAGATGGGGCTATCAGCATATGCAGCTGACAAAGGTGCTGCTCACTGATACGCCAAGCCACATGCATAATTAAACTTAGCACGCAGACAGACGCAGATATTTTGGTTGTGTTTATTCGTTGACAGATCTTGAAAGACCCTGATTGTTAGTGAAACGGTACCCATTCTGTGACTGTAACCTAGGAATCCTTGACCAAGAAATGGGTGAATATGTGATACTACATTTTTACAATGAATTGCATCTATACAAGCAGATAAGAGGATATTCACACAGGAGTGTGAATGAGAGATGAAGTACAGATTGTGCAGCAACTTCAAGATGTTTTAGCTCTATTCTGAATAGTTAGCTAGCGTGACCTACTTTGTAAAGTTGAGGTTCAAATTTAATGATTTCGAAATGACAATATTTGACTTCAAAGTAGCAGATGATTATCTGCCCCTCCATAATTCATGTCCTGTATGTCAGATAAAAATAGAAGTACGTGAATAGCCATATCTAAGAGGCCACCCATTCATAGTTCAATCTCACCCAGCTACAAACCCTGCAAATGGTAATAATGATATTTATGCATGATTTGCCCACTGGTACAATCATGGTGTGGAGGCTAGAAGAGTGAATAACCACTTTTTTGTTGGATTTAAAGACCACTATGAGATGGAACTCATACCTTATATTGTTAATGAGATCAAGAACCTGACAAGGTAGATCACAGGACCCAGGGGAGAACCCACTACTATTATGCTGCTAAATGAACCCAGCAAACAAATTGACTTATAATGAACTACTGCTGTACTCATAGATCAGTGCATCCCACAACCCTGAACACGGAAGATTATTGTGGTGGATGTAGATGGCAATCAGCACAGAGACCCACAGCTGTTTGATGTCTAAGGGAACCACAGTTTTCAGACACAACAGGATTAATGTACATAATAACTCAAAGAAACTGTGTAAGCATGCACAAGATAAGCACAACTCGAGCCAGACAAAATCCCATGACTAAAGTGGGGGAAGTGGGCACAACATGTGACTCCCAGCCAAGAGCTATTCACAAATGTTAGCTAGTTAGCACAGTCACAATCTGAACCAAGCAAAAACTCTAGCAGTATTAATAACTCAATGTCTATTATCTAGGATAACAAATGAAGGATGTAGACGACCAAAACATGTGAGAATATTCACTGATGGGTTCTCTTTGAAATGAAGGGGTCTTTTTACAGCAACAACAAAGGTATGAGAATATATTCCAAGCTCCTTTTAGGGCAGAGAGATATTCATTTCTATTTAGATGACATAATTTGATGTCTGATACATTATTCTTTTTTATCTTGGTCAAATCAGTATAGTTAGTATCACCTACTGCATTCATCATTTATTAATGTTGACAGTATTCCAAAGTTTCTTAAATGTAAAAAAAAAAATCTTCTGGTTAACTGTGATCTCCCTACTGTACAGCAGAATACCAGATCTTATTTCTGCTGCTCATGATAAGCCTCTCCCTGTACTCCCCTCTGTTTCCAGATGTTGTTTTTCTTCTTTCCCTCAAATGAGCTGCTTTTAGAGTTCACATTTGAGTGAGATTATGCAGTGTTTATTGTAGTACTTTGCTTTCTACTTTCTCTAACCAAACACCTGAAAGATGTAATGTAAGAGAGAGATTTGGGCTCATGGTTTAACAAGGCAAATGATCCAAACACAATGGATGAGGAGGGAGCTGATCGATTTGCATTCTCTATCAGGAAACAGAGAGATGAATACTAGCACTACTCAGGTTTTCTTGCTTGTTTTTATTTGTTTGATTTGCTTTGTTTTTCCAATTTTTATTCAGTCTGGCACCTATATTGACAGTATAGTACCTCCCATCTTCAGGACA